GGACTTCCCCAGTGCCTGCTGATCCCCCCTGACTAGTTTGTAACAGGCCACTAGATCCCCCCCCTCAGCCTTCTCTTCTGGAGGCTGAACAGGTTCAGGTCCCATAGCCTCTCCTCATAAGGCCTGCCCTGCTGCCCCTGATCATGTGAGTGGCCCTCCTCTGGACCCTCTCCATGTTGTCCACATCCCTCTTGAATTGCGGCGCCCAGAACTGGACGCGGTACTCCAGCTGTGGCCTGACCAGTGCCGCATAGAGGGGGAGTATCACCTCCCTGGACCTGCTTGAGATGCATCTGTGGATGCATGACAAGGTACGGGTGGCTTTCCTGACTGCATCCCCACACTGCCGGCCCATGTTCATCTTGGAGTCAGTGGTGACCCCAAGATCCTTTTTCGCCTCTGTCCTGACAAGAATGGAATTCCCCAACCTGTAGGCATGGTGCCGGTCGATCTTCCCCAGGTGCATCACCTTGCACTTGTTGGTGTTGAATCCCATCCTATTCTCATCTGCCCACCCTTGTAACCTGTCTAGGTCCGACTGCAGCCTATTCCTCCCTTCTAGCGTGCCCACATCCCCTCACATCTTAGTGTCATCATCAAATTTGAACAGGGTGCTTTTTACCCCCTCGTCCAAGTCACTGATGAAGATGTTGAACAGTGCGGGCCTGAGGACCGAACACTGCGGAACCCCACTGCCCACATCCCTCCAGGTCGAAAATGACCTGTCCACCACTGTCTGGGTGTGGCCCTCTAGCCAGTTGGCGACCCAATTGATTGTGTGGGTGCCAACACCAGTCCCCCAGTTTCTTAATGAGAACAGAGTGAGACACAGGTTGTGGTCATGACTGACCAAAAGACAAACATGAGCCTTCAATGTGATGCTGCAGCTAGTAAAGCAACCAAAACACTGGCTTGCATCCATAGATGCTTCCCAAGCAAGTCCCAGGATGTCATTCTCCCATTGTACTCAGCCTTGGTGAGGCTGCAGCTGGAGTACTGCATCCAGTTCTGGGCTCCACAATTCAAAAAGGATGTGGAGAACCTTGAGAGGGTGTAGGAAAGCCATGTGCATGATCAGGAAAATAGACATTATGATGAGAGACTGAGAGCCATGGGACTCTTTAGCCTGGAAAAGCACAGGCTCGGGGGTGATCTGGTGGCTGTCTCTACGTTTATCGGGGTGTTCACCAGGATCTGGAGGAACATCAGTTCACCAGAGTGCCCCAAGGGATGACAAGGTCTAATGATTACAAACTCCTCCATGACCGTTTCAGGCTGGACATAAGGAAGAACTTCTTTACTGTCTGAGCTCCCAAGGTCTGGAATAGACTGCCACTAGAGGTGGTTCAAGCACCTACTTTGAACACTTTCAAGAGACATTTGAATGTTTACCTTGCTGGGATCCTATGATCCCTGCTGACTTCCTGCCCCTGGGGCAGGGGGCTGGACTTGAAGATCTTCTGAAGTCCCTTCCATCCCTGATGTCTATGAGTCTATGAGACTTTCAGTTGCCAGCATGGCCATATGGCTGTGACAGAAGATGTTATTTTTCTGTCCTCCACCTTCCCCCCACCCTCTGCCAAAATCAGCACCTGGGGGCTGCTACCCCTGTTGCCCCACCTTAGTTGCATGACTGGGACCAACTCAAAAGAACTTCTTACACAGGGCCCATGCTAGAAAGATATTTGGAACCTAACATGGAGGCATATTTTGCTCTTATTCACAGGTATCAGGAAAGTGCTTTTATCTGAGAAACTTAGGGTCTATTTTTCTGTCAGCCTTGCAAAGTGTGACCTAGAGCACTTTGCTAAATTACTAGCAAACTAAGAAAATTGGACCAAAAAAAGAAAAAAGATTTGCTTATAGAGCCATAGTTCATTATTTGCCCTTTGGATGAAACAAGCAAGCAAAAATGTGGAGCAGAGAAATTATGAGGAAATTTAGGCTCCTTTAATTATCTGTCTTCTGAATAATTCTTTTATACCTCTAAATTGCATCATGAGGCTAATTTTCTTATGTTCACCTCCAGAAGTAAAGTAGTATTGGTGCCAAGCAGCAAAGTTTATGTAGGAAAAAAGAATTAGGAATTAGACCAGAAGAACTATGAGAATGCAGCATGAAATGTTTTGCAACTAAGTTGTACTACTTTTTAGCAAGGTGTCATAGCCGTTAATTCTAGAGTGACTGGTAGAGTAATGAACAGATTTCCATGCAGTTGCTTCCAGAAAGAATGTGGCTTCCCTTTTTACACAGGATAAGGAAATCATTCTAGCCAAGTGAGTCTTTTGCAAACCAATTCAATCCATTGGCGAATCAAAGCCAGCTTGCCAGGGTGGATTTAAAATGCCATTTTTATCACCAAAAGAAATTAAAATAGATCTATTACAGCTGCAGCCTTTTGATCTAACAATGGAATCCTTTAGGGCTCAAAGAACTCCAGCTGGGGAGAAGGCTTAGACTGAGGATAAGAACAGAGAACATTGGTTTCAGTCAGGGGCAATGGGTAGGGGGTGCATGCAGGTACACATGCACCCTTTGAGCATGGCGGTGCACCCTCTATAAAAAACGGTGCTGCCAACACGGTCAGCGGTGCCTGCGAGCAGTCACCACTCACCATCCCCCTCCACCCCCCACTGCTGACACTGCCAGCAGCATCTGTGATCAGTCAGCTATCCTCACTGGCTGCCGCTGCCACTGCTGGTGACATCTGAAGGTGGCTACAGCCTCCTAAGCCCCCCTCCCCCCCCATGCCACCCCTTTTTTGCAATTTCTTAGTTGGTCTAATAAAAGGTACCATCTCTAAACCAAGAGCTCTAGAGTTTTGTATTTCACCCCTGCTTGCGGCACTCCACTTTGCTGCCTTTCCCTTGGAAGTCCCATCCTAGCCACACATCCTGTCTGCCTTGTAGCGCAGGACTCCCAAGGGAAAAATGCAGCACAGCAGAGTGCCCTGAACAGAGGCAGTGCTGGGGGTGGGGGGGAGGGGTTGGAAGGGCTATGGTCACCTCAAAATTCCCCATATCCCCCCCATAGCCATCCCTTCCAATGCCACTGCCTGCCCCATGCAGCCAAGCCTGCCCCAAGCCCAGCCCACCACCAGAGACTGGCACTGTCCCCAAGCCCACAGTGAGCAGCCTGCCCTCACTCCACACAAACTGAGGGGAGCACATGCCTTCCATACCTTCCCTGGGGGTGTGCATAGCTGCGGGGAGCCACCTCCCCTCCCCAACTCCCTGTGTCCCCTGGATGACCTGCCCATGGCTGGGCAGCCCCCTGCCCCAGCCCCAATCCCTCCCCTACTCCCTCCCTTACCATGGGGGCCTCAATCTGCCCCTGCACACCCCTTCCCTCTTTCCCCTCAGACTTACCGGCAGGATGCTGCTGTCCAAGCTGCCCAACAGCATTTCTGGCCATGTGCATACATGCAGCTGCACACATGCACGCAGCATTTATTGGTGACATTAAATTGGCTACACTGGCCAAAAAAAGCTGATGTTAAATTTTTATTTTATCAGTGCCAATCCAAGATGTGACTAATATATTGGTGGATCTCTAATTTTATAATGAAAGATAACATAACAGCAGGAAGTAGGAGTAATTGGTCCACTCTAAGTGAACATACTGACCATCAGAAGATGAATTGGAAAATGACCTTAATTGATACTGTAGTTGCAGAAAGGTAATAAGACTCTCAAACAGTTTTTGGCATACACAGAAGCAGCTACATACAGGAATGTGGTTTTCAGAGAGGCTAGGAACTAAGAGTTTCTGACAAAGTCCATGGGAGACAATGGTTTTTACTGGCACTAGATTTTAAAGGGTTCAGTCCTCCAAAAGAAAAAAAAAATCTTTAAATTAATCGCATTTCAGCTGCAAATTCTCCAATAATTTGTCCATGCATGTAAAAGGAAGTATTTAAATAAACGTTAGTCACTTCTGGACTGCAGATGCTTGTTGGATGAAATGCAGCTGTAGTTAGATGTTGCATAGTCAACCACACAACAGCTCAGGACAGGAAATCCACAATGTAATATATCCTGGAAGGAAGCAGATAAATAGTTTATACGCAACCCCCCCCAACCCTGCCCTGCTCTGAGCGGGGATGACTTCCACTAATGCAAGTTCCAGGAAATTCCATTTTAGCTTTTCCAAAAAAAATACAAGACAGCAAAAGATCCACTTTTCTTGAAAAAAGAAGGAATTCAGTCACTGAAGTGACTGTTTCCATTATAAAATATGCACACATAAATATGACTGCTTGGAACTCTTTAAGAGCATCACAAACTCACAGCATATCTCCCTTTAACTCAGTTTCTATTCTGTAGTCTCACTGTACCAGCTAAATATCAATTTCTCATTGTTGCCTGACATTGTGCTGCGGACTAACAGGTGCCTCCAAAATATTTTAGTCTCCTCAAATGCATCAACAAAAAGAAGAAGAGGCCATCACCTTTTGTAGCTTAAATAGCAAGTTTTTTTTTTTTTTTTTAAAGTCTTTAAATCCAAATAATATTTGGACTAGTCTTTTCAGATCTAGTAACAAGAACTTAAAATTGTAATTGGGGCTGATGAACTAGACCAGTATTTCTCAACCGGTGGGTC